TCAAAGAATAAAATTTGGAGCTGACGATTTTTAGTCAAGATATAGACCTACAACATCGGCAACCCAAAATTTTGAAAATTTAAAAGAATTAACTTCAATTTAATTGTTTGGCGTTGTGTCCATATAAATGACATTTTGTCCAAAACTTCTGTAATCTGTAATTTTCTCCCGTATCACATCATTTTGTATAAACGGAGGCCTCAATTCTTTTCTCAGCCTATCCTTGCTGCCTAGGCGATAACCTCTATTTAAGATACCCTTATTATAAGGAATCTACCCTAAGAGGTTGTCTTATACTGAGGGCCGATTTTAAAATTAATTTTTTAGTACTAATGCAATAAATTCATATACTGCCTTTTGTCTTGGCCGAGAAGATAGTGCAAAACAATATTCTACTTTAATTGCTCAAAATATACATTTTCGTAAATTTATGGAATATTACGAGGGACAACATAAAGATCGTTCACTTAGCGATTGTATGTTATTGGTTGCCCAAAGATTAACAAAATATCCTGTTTTGGTGGAACAGGTTTTTATTTTTTTAATAAAATTTAGACTCAGGCATTATTTTTTATTGCTAGGCTAGCAAAGAGGCAAACGGGATTTTAAGCCAAACGGGGATTTTTCCTCCCTCTTAAGACCGGCCAAAAGAACCGATAGAATTTTATTCATAAACACTTTAAAACCTCCCTAACTGATCGAGTAGTTGCTCTATTAGGTATTGCAGAACTGTTTCGATTTTTGAGATGTCGGTGATACTCCTACTCCGAAACAGGAGCAAGCTCCGAGGCCACAGCCTAGCAATTGAGAGTATTGCTTCGAAATTTCGCCTTTTTTGACCTTTGAGGAAAGGATAGGTCAGCTTAAGAACTACGTCGAGTCGGGGTTTTCGAAAGTTTCTCGATTTGAGTTTCTTATTAAAATAAAATCCTGGTATAGGCCCTCTCTCTTGTTTAGAAGAACTGAGGGATTAACCTTCTTAAGCTTTTATTATCTTAAAAAATTTTTTCACTAGATTCACCCAAAGGATAGAATTGACTTTTCTTTTGACAATTTGTTTTGGCCTGTTAAAAATGACTCAACAATAACTTTAACTAATTCAACAAAAACTATTGGAAGACGGCAAATTTTATTAATAACACGTGCTTTTTGGCGTGAAACAATGAATGGACCTGAACTTGAACGTAAAACAGAAAAATTTTTTTTCTTAAAAATGTCTTTTTTAAAGTTCGTTTATTACTTTGTGATGATATTATTGTCTTCCTAAGACTAGAAGGTGGCGGCGGAGGATCTTCAACATCTATAGTTAATGTTAGGTCGAATTCTAATGCTGCCAATACTAAATTGGTGAGAAAATTTATTTTTTATTAATTCTTTTTGTCTGGGGTTATCGGACGGACCTCGTTATAAGATACCTTCATTGGGACTGAAAAATATGACTAAATTTGTAGTCGTTTCTGCATTTTCAATTTTGAGTTGACTTTCGGTTCCGCTATGATCAGATTAGAGATTCAGACTTGAACAGAACGAGTCTCTATTAAGAGGATTTGGTGGATTAATATGATATCTGGAGACTAGGAGTGTGTGGGTATTTAAGACGATATCAGGATTTGAGGGGATTGAAAGATCCATCGATACTTCTTTAACCCTTTTGAGTACTGAGACATTTTAAGATAGTGATTTCTATTTTTGGACGATCCAGGTCTCTAGTCATGATGTTCGGGTTTCGGGTCGTTTTAAAAATGTTCTTCGGATCGGGTTTCGGGTCGAAAAAAAGACAGGGTTTCGTGTAACCCGTGACATCCCTGTAACACATACATTTATTTCCCTATACAATCCTATCGGATTTGTGAATTAATTATTTGACAGTAGATTTTTCAATCTTAAATTTATTATTTTTTAGCCTCCACTTCAATTCTTTCGCCATATTTCTCATTCTGGTGTTTTACCACTCTACTCAAATTTAGTTCGTGGAGAAAATGTTCAGATGATGAGGATAATGAAGAGGAAGGAGATGAATATTTACGTCAACTATTACCACTAAGTATGTGCGTCTCCTTTAACAAAAGGTCAAATATGGAAAAGAAAACATTAATATAACAATGTAAAGGTGATAATATATTTTTATTATTATTTCTTAATTACGAGGAGTTAAAAGGGCACTAAATTAGACACAACTTCCTTTAGAAAGGACGTAGAAGGGAACTTAAATATTAGGGTAGACGTTGCCTCATTTCCAAATGGTTCCTTTTAAAATGTTTTTAACTCGTCCTTAATAAGCAACTATTTTAGGAAAGTCTAAATTCTAGTAAGGAAGATATAAATATATCGTGTATATGAATAAGAAAAATATTTTTATAAGTAAATCCAAACATTACACTATCAATATTTAATTTCCGCTTACTTTTTAATTTACTTTCGCAATTTCGCCTTTTAAACTCTGTTTCGGCACATCCATGATTTATGCTTAAACTAACATTTATTCCAATTTAACACTACTTATTATAGTGAAATGGCATGCCATCAAAACTTTCCAATGAGATAAATTGTCATAATAAAACTGATTATACAGAGCTCTAGCCCAAGTAAGGAGAAGAGTGATGCCAATACCCCTTTCAGATAGTCTAATTTTAATTACTTAAAAAATAAAAATAACTTTTGATTGTTGCTTTGGTTCCGCTCTCATCAACAGCATATTCTTTTTTCACAGGAAGACGCAATTTATTGATAAATGTAATCAAATTCCCCTCGTATTTAACAACTGCAGCTTCCAATTCTTTTGTCTTCTCGTTAATTTCTTCACATCCTTGCAATTTCCCAGTACCATTTTTAATTACTTCAATTGCTTCCTTTATTTGTTTTAAGGCCTAAAATGAGAGTTAAAAAGAGGGAAATTTAAGGAATAACCGCAGTCGTTTCAGCCGTTGTTGCAATTTTAATATACGACATGGGGAAAGAAAATATTATTTTTTGGTTGTAAAAGAAAGTATCTGAATTAGGTATAAATATAAGAAAATTTGGATATAATGTTAAAGGATTAAAAAAAAACCCCTAAGGATTGACTTATTAGCAGAAATAGAGGAAATTTCGCATATGTCCCTTCAAAAAACGGGATTTCACACGGAAACGGGATTTTAAATTTCAAACTCATGGCATACCAGATCCGGCCTGATTTTTCCGAATCATTCCGGTTCGGTTTTAGTAGTTAAAAATAAATTCCGGAACAACCTTCAGAAAATCTTAATAATAATTTATCATTTCAGTGCTGGAGTCGAAAATTTTTAAATTTAGAAGGCCAAAAAGCCTTTTTTTAACTTTTTTTAAACGCCGCAGGCAAAATTTTAGAATTTTTTGAAGAAACATATGCCAAATTTCCTCTATTTCTGCTAATAAGTCAATCCTTAGGGGTTTTTTTTAATCCTTTAACATTATATCCAAATTTTCTTATATTTATACCTAATTCAGATACTTTCTTTTACAACCAAAAAATAATATTTTCTTTCCCCATGTCGTATATTAAAATTGCAACAACGGCTGAAACGACTGCGGTTATTCTTTAAATTTCCCTCTTTTTAACTCTCATTTTAGGCCTTAAAACAAATAAAGGAAGCAATTGAAGTAATTAAAAATGGTACTGGGAAATTGCAAGGATGTGAAGAAATTAACGAGAAGACAAAAGAATTGGAAGCTGCAGTTGTTAAATACGAGGGGAATTTGATTACATTTATCAATAAATTGCGTCTTCCTGTGAAAAAAGAATATGCTGTTGATGAGAGCGGAACCAAAGCAACAATCAAAAGTTATTTTTATTTTTTAAGTAATTAAAATTAGACTATCTGAAAGGGGTATTGGCATCACTCTTCTCCTTACTTGGGCTAGAGCTCTGTATAATCAGTTTTATTATGACAATTTATCTCATTGGAAAGTTTTGATGGCATGCCATTTCACTATAATAAGTAGTGTTAAATTGGAATAAATGTTAGTTTAAGCATAAATCATGGATGTGCCGAAACAGAGTTTAAAAGGCGAAATTGCGAAAGTAAATTAAAAAGTAAGCGGAAATTAAATATTGATAGTGTAATGTTTGGATTTACTTATAAAAATATTTTTCTTATTCATATACACGATATATTTATATCTTCCTTACTAGAATTTAGACTTTCCTGAAATAGTTGCTTATTAAGGACAGGTCAAAAACGTTTTAAAAGGAATTACAAAAACGGCTTATTTTTAAACCTTTCCTTCTAAGAATACATCAAGCATGTGCCGCTTTTAACTCGTCTTTAATTAGCAAATTTTTATTGAGAAAATTCTTTTCCATCAACTTATTTTTACAAATTTCTTTAAAATAAATTATTAATTGTCTCTCACTTATTGTTCTTTGATTACTACGCATACGCTCTGTTCCAAAATTATAAGGTCACCCCTATTTTTTATCATATCTCATTGAAAAAGTATCAAATTTTTTTGAAATTTTTACATAATTTATATTTTTCTATTTAAAATCTTCTCTAAATAGATCAAATTTGTAGTACTTATACATTTGAAAAAAAATTTTTATGACCAAAAAATGAAATTTAAAGTGTTCCATAATTATAAGGTCACCTTTGTTTTATAGGTTTCTAATAGCGGGAAAAATCGAACTCTCTAAGATAGCTAAAACGTTCTAGAAATTTAATCTCAAATATCCCTAAAAGCTTGACGAATCTTGATTTTTGAGAAAAACGCTCAAACATGTCAAACTAAATTTTGATCGAGCTTTTGATTGATATATAGATCATAATAATGCTATTTTTGTTTATTTTTTAAATCAAAGTGACCGTGAACTTTTGACTCACCCTAATAATCAAAAAAAAATTTTTTTTAATTAAAATTATTAAATATATAAAAATAAATTTGACAATATTTTAAGAATGAAAAGCATCAAAAATAAAAAAAGCAAAAAGGAGTGGCAACAAAATTTAAATAAAAAATTTGTTTTAATTGGGCACATAATTAAATTAATCATCATTCTCCTTAACATCATTTTCGTCCTGTACATCCAATACATGTAGAGTTGGTTGACACCTACTTGAGGGGCATTTTAGAGTATGGACGGCTTTGTATTCTTTCCCTTTAAAGAAAATTTTTTTTTAATTTTTTTAAAGAATTTTCGGGTTACCCCAATGGTCCATGGTAGATTTCCATTGATCCACTTCCGATTTATCCGAAGCCAGTTCTCCAAGAAATACAAAACCGATTGTATCATTGCCGGTAACGGAGCTGGAAAAATAAGTTAATGAAAAAATTATTTTAAATATATTTTTGGTATGTAAAGAAGGCTGCGGTTTTTGCGAGTTTTGTGGATATTTTTAAAATCATTCCTTGACTAAAAATTATAGGTGTAGAAGGGCAGCAATACAGCAACCTCCAGAAAAAAGCCAGCAAAAATTTTTCCTCAAAATATTTTTCAAAAAAACGAGTGTTTCTTAAATTTTTCAAGAATGTCCGCAACAATTAAAAAAGTCCGCAAAAAATGTCCGCAAAAAAATTTTCTCTAAAAAATTTTTTTCTTAAAATCCAACGGAAATTTTTAAGAAATTCCAAACAAGGCAGCAACATTCAGAAAAAAGTCATCAAAAATTTATCCTCAAAATGTTTTTCAAAAAACAAGTGTTTTATGAATTTTTCAAAAATGTCCGCAAAAATTAAAAAAGTCCGCAAAAAATTTTTTCCCTAAAAAATTTTTTTCTTAAAATCCTATAGATATTTTCATAAAATTCTAATTTAAAAATCACCGAGACAAATCATGAACAGAAATTGTAATTTTAGTTCTAGCCAAATCAGCTTCTCTAGTACTAACCAAAAACATTACAGCTTCTTTATAGACTGCTGATGTTGTATTTTTAATAATTCTTGAACATTTTACAACTTCTGGGCCGTTAGCCTGTTGCATTCTTATACGGATTTGGACGTCGGGGGCTCCTATAATTCCCCATTTTGGAAGGTCTTCAACTTTTATTAAATTTATAGTTAATCTTCTGTCGGCTTTTTCAATGCATGTTGTTATGTGTAGCTTGCCCAACTAATTTGAAAATTATAAAAATTAAAGGGTAATATGTATTAGGAAAGGTTCTGAGTGAGGAGAAAAGTTGAATCGGATTTCGTGTTTCGGATATAAAAATGCCAAGGCTTCGAGTTTTGCATATCGAGTAACCCTACCCATCCCTAGTAGACAGTCTGTATCCTCTAATACAAAAATGTCGCTTATAATGAGGTGTACATTAAATAGGGGGTATCACTTTAGCGCCTCCCAAACTCCCAGAGGTCAGCCGTATTAAAAAACGTTTATCCTAAATTAAAGTCTTATAGAGTAACGCCCAAGTTTACCTAAACGTTTAATTAAGTTTTATAGTGAATCACTCCGTTTTTAATTTTGATTTTTAGTTATAATTAATTTTAGTTGTTACATTTATTAAAAAATCACCTTCTTTGCAGCAATAAAAAACTTTAGTTCTTCCACAATTCTCACTTCCTTTTTTGTTTGTAGTTGTGGAGCTAAGTCTCTCAATGGAATTCGAACCTCCCCAATATCCAAATCTCTTTGCAATTTTTGATTACTGCTGTGGCATACTTCAATTTGTAATTGTTTTAGTTCAATCTCTTCTGTTGCGAAATTATCGAAGAAGAATTCCTTTAATAAATAATTTTTCTAAATTGGTATTTTATTGAACAAACTCCGACCTCACTACAGTATATACCTCTGGAACCAAAAAATTGTCCCTTATAATGAGCTGTATGTTAAATAGAGGGTATCGTTTAGAAAGCTCCTTCCTCCAATATCTAAGCCTCTTAATAAGCGTACCTTAAACAGAGGTGTATCTAATAGTGGGAGTACCCTATAAGGAGTTGTATATTAAATAGAGGGCATCGCTTAGAAAGCTCCCATTCCCATCTAACGACCAACCAAATTTAAAAAAGGATTAGGTATCTTAAATTGAGGTTTATCCAATGTTGGGGGTATCTTATAGGGAGGTCTGTAATTCTATAAATAAAATTCAAACAAAAAATTTACTTGATTAAAAACAGAATCTCTCCCTCTTTTAACAACACTTTGTTGTTGTTGGGATTGTTGTTTCTTTGTGGATGTAAGCGTTAATTTACAAAAGGGTTGAATTTCAAGGTCAGGACGTAGATCGCCGGCCAAACCTTTTAAAAAATAAATTTTGAATTCAAATTTTAATTAGATTTGGACTGTGGACTTTTCGAATGACTTGTCCTGTATCCAAGTTTTTTTCTTTTAAAATGACCAGAGCCTCCGGAAACTCGCGATTTTATCAATAAATCCGGTTTCCGACTAACTGGCCATAAAGCTAGGCCCCCGGCTTGAGTGCTCCGTTCACTTGTATTTTTAATCTGTACCTTCAATTTTAAGCACATTAACACGTAATCGTTTCCGAACAGGAAAATGCTGTAGAGTACAGTGAAGAAGTCCTAAACCTCTAGGTCTAGGTTGTTGTTGTTGTTCGTTCCCAGATGTGCTAGGAATTGTGCCATTGCTTTTAAGAACGTGGACAGGGGAGGAATTGACGTTTTGGTTGGCAACTCCGTTTACGTAGAGGGAAGGGTCGAAACCTGAAAATAATTTTTAATATATTTTCTCTAAAAAATTTTTATGAAATTTTTAATTGAAAGTGAGCAAAGTGAACTTTACTATAAGCAATTTTAAATTTGGTTAGCCACTGCTTTGTGGAGTTACATAGTCAATACTCGCTATTAAAGATACAACCCATTACTATAAGGGACGACTTTTTAAGCCCTAAAGGAGTATCGTTTTAGCCCTAAGGCGAGGTTCGACCTCAGAATTATACAGCTAGAACATAGATACGTTTTCAAATCCTGGTATCTACTTTAGGAAATTCTCAAGCTGCCCAGTAGATAATCATTATACACGATACACCGGATTATAAGGTACTCTCTCTATTTAATATACATCCCATTATAAGGGACGATTTTTAGGTTTATCTCACAGCGAGGTGACATCATTTTAAAAGAATATAATTTTTTCAAAAGAAAAATTTTTCACCAAGTACAGAAGGATCAGCAGCAGATATTTCCACATCACTACCCGAACGTGAAGTAGCTACAGTAGTATTACAATTTAACTATAAAAATTTTTTTAATTAATTTTTAAATAATTTATTAATTGAAGAACCTTATTATTATTATTTCCACTATTCATACTGTTTGTGGAATGACTTGAACGGAAAGAGGGGAGTGCTGTAAAAATAGGGCCTTTCATTGTTTAAATTATTTTTTTTTAATTTTTTAAAAAAATTTTTTTTTAAATTTTAGTGAAAAAATTGAAGAATTTTAATTTTTTTTTAATCTATAAAAGTAGAAAATTTTGTGGAGAAAAATAATTTTCGAGAAAAAAATTTTAGAAAAATAAAATTTAAAAAATAGAGAAGGTGGGAAGTATTTGTATTAAGGTAATGAGAGAATAAACGGAGTTTGTTTAATTTTAAATTTATTTTTGCAAAAATACTTTTGTAGTTTAAAAAATTAAATGAACTATTGGAAAATAATTAATATTTCTATAAAAAGATTTTTAATTATGTGTTCTTAAGTGAGAGAACGGACGTGAGTGTCGTAGAAGAATCGAGATAGATAGTTCGAGAATATCGAATTCGATAACCGATTTTTGTTTGAGATCTAGAATAGACCCGGTATCTTTTCTTTTGTGTAGTTCAGAGATATAGCCGACATAAAAGTGAAAATTCCGATTTAGAGAAATCGGAATCCCGATAAAAAACGTCGGGAATTCCAGATTTTCGGGAATCAATGTAGTGGTACATATAGGTAATCTGAGAAGTCCTCCTCAAGTAAAGTATATTTAGCTCACAATTTTACGTAAAATTTTATAAAATGGTAGGCAAATTATTTGAGGTTATTAATATAAGATTTTCTATGGACCCAAGGTCTACGCTATACCGAGACACGAATTTACTAGGGCGAGATCTTTCAAATCAAATTTTTTGTTCATCAAAAATAATTAAAAATTCAAATTAAATTCTGAAAAAAATCAGAACGAAAAAAAAAATTAATTTTGCAAAAAATTTTTTATTATTTTGATTAATCATTCAAAAAAAATTTTTTTTTCAAAAACAGTAAATAAAAAAATAATTTTTTTCTATTCATATTATTCCCTAAAAGGAAAGCCGCACCAAAGAAAATTGGATTAACTCTATTTTTGTTCTAAAAATACACCTAAAAATAACAAAATATAAATGTGTAGGTGGTGGAAAATTGAATGAATGGCATTAAAAATAAAATAAAAAACATCACATGAGTTGGGTTTGGGGTTATTAAGCAAAAATATTATAATTTTTTTATTTCTCGTGGGAAAAGTTTTTTTTTTAAAAAAAATATTTGGAAGATGTTTTTTGGGAAAAAATAAAAATAATTTAAAATAAAGGAAGGGCATTTCAATAAAAGTTAAAAGAGAGAGAAATGGAGGGGTAGAATCCGCAATTTTAATTTAAATCCGCAAACGTAATCCGCAAGTAAAAAATACGCTATTTTACGCAATCCGCAATAGCGTGCACACCTGGTAGAGATGTGTAGAGAGAATTAATTAATTTTATGCGTGTCAAATCAATGTGTTTCGGGACAGTCGGACCTTGATAATAATTTACCAAAAAATTTTGATGGCATCGCTTAGAGGACGTAAAAGATCCTTGGCCTTGAAGTTTGATTTAAGACAAGGGTTGTTAGCACATTTTTCAAATTTTTAAAATACGCCAAAAACAAAACGCCAAACTTTTATGTCGCGAAACTAGAAATTGGCAAAATCGCATTTCCGGGATCCCGTAACGGGATTGAATTTGATAAGATCGAACGGGAGGGATCCCACGGGATTAATCCCGTTAAGCCCGTTCGTCTATTAAATCTCGGGATTCCGGGACGGGATCCCGTAAAATCCCGCCCAGGATTTCTCCCGTGCCGACTCTACGCATAACCATACTTAAGACATTTCTTAAGGTTATTTTTCGATATTGGTCTCGGAATGGAATCCTGTAGTGATTTATCATGAAAGAATCGAGTGAAATATTCAGGCCCAAAAAATCCTATCTACTATATAATTTTTTAAATTTTCTTCAAAAAAATTGCCTCAAGGCAATTTAAACTTTTAAATTTATTTTCAACTCAAAAATATATACAGTTTACACATCATCACCATTTATCAAACATCATTTGAGTTCTATTGGTTTTCTAAAAAAAATTTTCTAACCGCAAAAAAGTTTTACTTTCCAAATGTCTTTTACATGCCGGAACAGATGCGTGCCTTCAAAAAGGTCCCATAGGGGAAAGGGAGAGAGAGAACATTTTGGGGGCAGGAAGTGGGAAAGAATATAAAACAAATTTTGGGTTAAGAACAAAGAAAGAACAACTAAATAAAACAATATATGTATTATGTAAAATATAAAAGGGAATGAATGCAAGTTAAATAATATATTGGAGTTTTTTTAGTTGTTAAAGTGCAAATAGAAAAAAAAATTTTTTTAGAGAAAACCTAAAAGTTTTTTAAATAAAAAAGGGGAAAAAATCGATTTTTTAAATATTGTATTAAATTATGGTAAAGTTTTTCGAGAAGTTTTTACTACGATAAATTTCGATTTGATGACCCTCGATTTAATGGAAATTTTCTTTAGTCCCTTGTAGTTTGTAACATAGCACTATATCGAGATCTCTAAAGGAGAGATTCTCTCTTTGCTATTATTTTGTCCCCGAAATATCGGATGAAATAGAAAGAATACAAAGATGTAAAAGAGACTCTTAAAGAAATTAATAGACATTGAAATTTTTTACAAAATTGAAACCTAATGAAATTGAAACTTAAAAGAACGCTTATTGGAATCGTTCGAAAAGCTGTCAGTACTTGGTCCAACATAAGCACATACCGTAGATTCTCTAATAGAAGCACATGTGTTGTATTTTTCGATACTCTCGTAGGGTGTGCTTCTATTGGAGGGTGTGCTTCTATTAGAGGATTTACGGTATCTATTTATGGAGAGCTTAAAGTGTGTCCGCAAATGTCCGCAAAAATTACGTGTATCTGCAAAACCTTGAAAAGTTAAGCTACCTATTGCCAGAGGGTCCCCTGTAAAAATTAAGAGTTGGAGGAAGATGTTAAGGAAAAAGTAAAATGTTTAATTATATTTTTGAGGACCACACATGGGCAGCTAACGGAATGAGTTTCCGGCCGATATTTCCTCTTCTTTATATTGTTTTAAATTAATGAAGAGGATTGAAGTAAAGGGCTTCATTCCCTTCCAACAAATGAAACCGTAAAAAAATTTTTTCTAACCAAAGTGTCGTTTTGGAAGAATGAAAGCTTTGGTTGAGTAAATAGGGTAGTCCTGAGGGGATTAGATATATTGGCCTTTTTTTAGTTTTTTGCCATAGGCATTTTGCTAGCGACACCTTCTCTCTCAAAGCTTTTTGTGCTCAGTGACAGATGAATGAAGCAATTGAGCAGTGAAAATGAAAAAGTAGAGGGGAAATGATTCTAGCTTAAAAGGGAGAGTTTTTGAAAAGGAGAATAATTCATTAAATAAATTTTAATAAAGAGAATTTTAAATGAGCAAATAGTGGAAAATAAATGAAGCAAATTTAAATGAAAAAAAATTTTAAAAAATTAATTAAGCAATTTAAAAGGAGAAAAATGGTTAAAAGTACTCCTTTAAAAAATTTTTAATTTTAAATTTAAGGTAGGAGACAAAAATTTGCGGACTGGAACATGCGGGCGCACACTAAGCTTCCTATATTATAGTAGTATGTATCAGGGATCCTGCCGACAAAAAACCAAAATTCCCGATTTTCGGGAAATCGGGATCCCGGCCCAAAAAATCGTCGGAATTCCCGATTTTCGGGAATCGGGTCAAACAGGATCCCTGGTATGTAAAACATGAATAAATAGTTTTTGATAACAAGAGGCGAACACCAAATTTTAACTCGTATATGAAGGAGTAGGGGCTTCAATTTCAAATCGCACCAACCCGAAGAAGTGAAGATTTTCGGTTTTGTTTCGGTTAACAGAAGAATTTGGTGAAACCGACAGCCTTATATCAAGGTGACCTTTTGACTGGTTTATAGAGAATTTACCATATTTCTGACCAATTTTGCCCTATTTTTGCCACATTTTTGAGCGGCTTTGTTCTAAGTTTAGTGTTTTCGAAAGGGACCTCTCTCATTCGATTTTAAAAAAGCTTGTTTGGCACCCTCGAGCTATGTTAAATTTTTAAAAAATTAATTAAGTGTCGGGGATCGGGGTTTACTGGGGAGAGCCTGTAAAAAATAAAAAAAATATTTTAATTAATTAAATAAAAGACACCCAAACAAATATCGCCTTAGAGGAAATAAATTTTTTTTTAAGTTTAAACAAAAGTATACAGAGTAAAATTAATAAAATGTCTCTCGAAGAGAAAAAGGAAGTGTTTTACATAGTCTTTTAAGTGGTGTCTGTTTACATATTTTTTTAATTTAAAAAATATTTTATATAAGCTAGCTAGCTTAATAATAATGAAAAAAAGGTCGAGACTAGAACGTAGAAAGGAAGAAATTAATAAAAATAAAAGGGGATATCTCAAAGGGAATTTGAACTCATTTAGCTCCTATTTATTCCTATGGGGCATAATTACTCTTATTTTTAAATGAAAAATAAATTTTTTTTTGAAAAAAATATTTGTTTTGTTTGTAAATTTGTGGAAAAAAAGAAAAAAATATTTTTGTTATCGTCATAGTCTGAAAAAAAATTTTTTTGTTGAAATATGTACTTGGAGTAAATTTGGAGCAACAAAAGTTCAAAAATTTGATTTAAATTTAAAAATATTTTATGAAAGAGTTTAATTAGGATAACACCACAACTCTTCGGAGTCGAAAGTTTGGGGATCGGGGTTAGCCGGAGAGAGCATGTCAGTGTTCAGGGTCGGGAGTATTAATGAGAAATTGATTGGGAGTGTAGTAGGAGAATATACGAGATTTCTCGAAAGATAGTGATATCGATAACCAAGATTCTTGTTCAAGATCTCGCCTCGATCCAGGCCTACATTAATGGCAGACATTTAAAATACCTGAGGGTTACTTATAAATAAAAAATTACATTTTCAAAAGTTAATGAATTATTTCAAGATGAGTCATATAATCCTAAGAAAGCCACAGAAAAAAAAGTAGGAGGAAACAACAAATTTTAATCTTACTGTCTTATGATCCTAGTAAATCCGTGTATACCTAGTAAAT